TAGACTATGCTGGTCGACTTTATATTAAAAACGAAAAAAATTGAAAATTTGACTAATTTTTGGTACACTTGACGACAATATTTGCTTGATATAAGCATTTTACAATAAATATATACAAAATGAGACCAGCATACTCTGGGGACAACACATAAGAACAATATCGTGCAATTAGAACTAAGATTAATAGCCTAGAAAAAAAAGATTACTTCTAATAAACGCAGGTCCAGAAATCCAAGTTTAGAAAAAGATAAAACTAGTTGCGGGCTTTTTCGAGAGAGATCGCTGCCAAACATATGTCAGATTGTCAGTAAAGCCATGGTGTTGACGATGCTAGAATTCGATCCAAAATCTCGGTCTGAGCAATGTGTAGCGAATAAAATTGCTGCTTTTTCGTAAAAGTTGCAAATTGATTGGCTATAAATTTCTCGGACCGAGTAGAACTTGGAATTAAAAATGTCGATAATTGACGCTTTACTAACACCTGGCTGTGCAATATAAGAAATAAATAAAAAAACCTCAAACATAGTAGAAGCCTTATACTTTAAGTCCCAAAAAAAACACGAACATCCTATCTCATTTATTTAAGTAAAACAAAATCACAAAATTGTTAACATTTGAGTTTTAGATCTGTATATGCCTCCTTAAGCGAAGAGAGAGAGAGAGAGAGAGAGAGAGAGAGAGAGAGAGAGAGAGAGAGAGAGAGAGAGAGAAAAAACAGAGCTCGAATATAGTCATGGTGTCAACCACACAAGAAGCGTTTCGTCATCGTCGCCGTCGTTTCCCCCGTGACTGTGTCGTCGGTGAGAAAAAGCTTACACTTGCTTTCGGATATAAGACTCATATTTTTCCTGTTTACAGCCGAGTAAGCCAGATGCCTCTCAGGAGGAAAATTCCCTCCCTCTGCCTCGGGTCCCACCTTTCGCCATTTTCCAGGCCATGCTATCTGGAAGAATGCCCGCCTCGTCGATTTCCGCCCTTACCCGACGCGACCTCTTATTCGCTGCCAATCTCAACCGAGATCAATCATCCTAAATCTCCCCAGCTTAGTTTATTATTTTAGGCGACAGAAACCGACCCTTCTTGTTAGTCGAGGATACGCATGAATCTATCATTGATAAGAACGTTGAATCCTTCCATCTTCGTCAAATTGAAAGGGGATTTTCTCAGTCGCTGTGTTTGCTTGTGTATTCGTGAATATTGTGCTTCGCTCACCGCGCGAATTGTTTGTTGCCAAATTAAATATTCAACACATTCAACACAACGAGCGATTTCGGCACTGGTGCATCTAATAACGGACAGCGTTGTTATCGCAGAGACGCCGACTTGCCGAAAAATAAATGCACGAGCCGCAAATAGGACGTAACGAATAACTAATACTGGGCAATACCATTAATAACAACATTATTGGATTAACTGTAATTGAATCAAATGTTCCCTATGCAATAGGTTAACGGGCGGAAACCGGTATTTGCATTGTAACGTAAATGGCTTCTAAGCCACCGCATACTCCGGGAGTGAAATCCATATGATCCTTTTACTAATTAGCCATTCCTCTGATTTACGCGCGTGACGAGAATGGTCTGATGACATTTACCATTTACCGAGACGGACGCCTGAACTATAGTTCTCTCAACTAGAATGAAGGTATCGATTAATTGAAACTGTAATACATCAATTAAAACTTCACAATTGCTTTTGTTTATAATGAAAAGCAGACGAGAATAATTATATTGTCATTCTTTGACTTGTAATTTAATGTGGAAGAATTGGTATCTTATCATATGACAACTAATTATTGCTGAATTACATTCTTATAAAAACAAGACAGCAAGCATGCTTGAACTACATGAGTCATTTTTTAATACCGTTTTTTATACTTTTTTCCACGAAATTATAATAATTTTAACATTCTGCGTGTATAATTTTCTTAATGCGTAGCTGTGATACACAGAATTAATAAGCGGTTATCTTGAAATATTTTATTTTGCGATAGTGTAAACGCCTTAAATATATGAGTAGTTAGTTTCGTAATATTTTATGTAATGTTTATGTCCGAGAAGAAAATACACGCGATTATATGCATACATAATTTACTTTACAAAAGATGTTGTAATATGAGAACAGAATACTGACTTTTAATATACATATGTATATCTTACAAATTATTAATTACAATAAAATTCATGTTATCAATAACTTTGTTTAAACTTGGTTAAAGAAAACAAACTAAGGTAGATAGATGAGAAAGATAAAATGCAATTGTACTGATTTTGAATCATTCACGTACATTTTATCGGGCATTTTAAAATATTCACTGAAAATATGCATTTTTTAAGCCTTGAATTTTTAAATATTCATTTATAATATCAATGTTTTATATTGTTTTTGCAGTAAAGTCCTCGCTTACATTTTTTTTTAAACAAACCAATCTTTATTTTATGCATTTTTGATACGAAACAAACAGCGTTTCTCGTATTTTTCATTCTCATCTATATCTATGGCGTCTGCACTATAAATAATAGTTGTCATACGCGTGGTGCACAAAACGACTAAAATTTTTGTGAGAAAAATTTGATAGTTGTTATCTATACAAGTAATCTCTACAGTAACGTATGTAATGTCTCACAGTGATTCGTCAAATTATTACAATGATAAAAAATTGTCTTTTGTCAGATTTTTGAAAAAAATGAGGTTGAAACCCCCAAAAAACATGTTATTGGCCATCTTTGAAAGCTCGTAGCTAGTAAACCTGATATGCTAAAGACATCGAAAGGGATTCAAATTAAAGCTTGAACATTGTACTTTAAGGTGAAAATATTAAATCTTTTACCGCAGGCATCATCGAACCTCGACAAAGCACGCTTTGTATTAGAGATTAGCATAGGGTAATGGCATCTAATATCACCCAACGTGTAATATTAATTCGTGATATCTCGCGAACAAAGTACTGATATCAATCAACAATACATAGAATTAGTTGTAGACAAAAATATCGATTACCCCTTAATTGAGAATGATTTGAATTGTGGTGATATTGTAGGCACTTTTATTCTACGTGCATGGAATCAAAAAGTCAAAAGAGAATATAATATATGTGAAAAGAAATAATTATTCTACCTTTGTGTAACCAGAAATGGAGCATGTCCGACAATGTGAGTGCGTTCTTCTAAAAAATTATAATGATATGACGATTGCAAAATAGTGTTTTCATTAAAACTTTCGTTAGGAATTCAAAGAATGGTTTATATCGAAAACTTTGTCCTTATTAAATATAAGATAATTAATATTAATAGCGGGACAATAGTTGACGTTCGAACTTTTTGTTATTATATAAATTTATTAATATTAAAATAATTATTAAGTTCTTTGGGGTCGAATTGGATCGAATCGACATCTCGACGAACACACTCGACATTTTTACTCGTGTCACAAAATTAACAACGCAACTAAAATTGACTTTGCACTCTTTAATCAAAGAGTGCAATAATTTTTTGACTAATATAGCGATATTGGCCAAACGAGCGATATGTGAATAATGGAAATTGCGTGAAAAGAAAACTTGAGAAGGGTCCAAATCCCGGGCCGAAACGTCGTTAGTTTTTTAAAATAAAAACATTGACCAGTGTAGGTCGTTTCAATAAACTATCATTGGTTTTATAGTAAATCTTTTGGCGATAGTAAATCTTTTGTGAATAATTATTAAGGCCAACAGAGAACTTGATATGTGAAAAGAAATAATTATTTTACCTTTGTGTAACCAGAAGTGGCGTACGTCCGGCAATATGAATGAATTTTCTTTTTTAAGTTACAATTACATGACGAGTGCAAAAAAATGCTTTCATTAAAAATTCCGTCAGAAATACGAAGAATAATTTGTACCAAAATCTCTTTCCTAATAAAATATAAGATATTCAATATTACAATAGGTGATATTAAAAAATGTTATTAGCAGAATTATTAATAATAAATATTAATAGCGGGACAATAGTAACAATTGCTTCTGAATGAAACTTTACTTTCGATAAATTCCAATTAATTTAATTTAATTTGAATACTTTATTATTATGTTATTAATATTAAGTTGATTATCAGTCACGTCTTCGGCGGTACGGTGGAAAAACCGGCTAAGCCACGACATTTCTTCGCGACCTGGAGAAGGAAATGCGTTTACGGCGGTAAAGTGCATCGTCGTAAGAGAAAGGGGAACCCACTATCCGCGGGTGAACGTTGCTGCAGACTTTACTCGCTTCATTCAGTGCGTGATCCTTAGTCTGTCATATGTGCGGGCACCTTCCTCCATTGCTCTGGAGGCATCTCCTGCCATTCTTCTCCGAGTGCTCCCTAATCAGTGAAAAAACGTGCGCGGATCGCCAAGTGCCGAAATCGGATAGACTCCCCTCTCGTGCGATTCGCGTTGTCTCTTTTCGATTTTCGAAAACTTAACAAGAGAAACTTGAAAACACATCACGCTTAATAAATATATTTTGACATTGGAATTTATCGAAAGTAAAGTTTCATTCAGAAGCAATCGTTGCTTGATGGAATTATTATAAAATTTTTTAAATATCTTGTTATTAAAAACTGCCTATTAATTAAACAGTTTGTAAGTATTCCACGCGACTGAAGTAACGACCGTAGCTAATATCGCGTTGATTATTCTTGCTTGATTACGACGATCATGCGGCGCCAAGATTAGTGCGTATAAATCACTGCGGTCTGTAGCAAATTCGCACGTGCTTGTTCGCCAAAATCAGCACTTTATACCCCACAATCAAGCGTAATTCTCCGAATTCTGAACACTGAATCGGCATTTCCCGCATTCGCGTATCTCTTCAGGCATGCGTGAGAATTCGGTCGAGTAAACACTCATTACAACGGCATTACAACGGCTTCCTAAAAGGAATTTCATCGAGGGCTAAGATGACGGGATCTGGAGATTTTAATGACGGAAATCGGTGAGCTCGATCTCTCCCGTTAGACAAAAAGAGAATCTAGTCGATCTTTTCCCAAAGCGCGAGTGAATTCTACGAGGTAGATCCTTCAATGATAAACGGAGGAAGCATGGCGCGTCCGTTGAGCTACCTTCTCGCGATCGTATGCATTGCTTACGTAGCGATCGCGGAAAAGGAATCGAACATCCTCAAGCTGAGCAAACCGCAAAAAGCTGCTTCGAACGGGACTACAACGACAAATTTCAACGTAACGGAATACACGACAGAGAAGAATGAATCTGGAAAGCGGCCGTCTCTAATTGCCTTCAGCAAGAATAACCCGGAGCTGGACTGGAAGAATTACTTGAAGACGTTCGACAGGAACGAGGAGGAACACCGGGATCTCGACGTCGACTTTATGAAGGAGAAACTCGAAAGAACGGCTAATAGTATACAATGGCTCGCCGATCTTTACGATCCTCTCAGATGGGCTAGAGTGCCCGGAGAACTTCAGGACGAATGTCGAAGGGACATGGAAAGATTTCTCAGCGCGCTGAGGGACGGGAAACTCTGGGCGGCGAAAAGTGAGTCGATTAAAATATAATCGGAACCCCTTTAAGACTCCCTAGGAAAGCAAGTTTTTGCATTGAATAATTTCTACGATTACAAAACTGCAGTATACAGTTTATAAATCATTTTTCCTCATTTTTCTCTATTTTGGGCGAAAATTTACGATGTAATTAATTTCTAGTTACTTTTAAATAACAATTTCTCATTTTTTTTACAGAAAGAGAGAGAATAAATATAATTATGAAATAATAATTGAGCTAAATCAAAGAATCTGTTGCTACGAGAACATACTTTTGGATTAATAGAATTAGAAATATTCGGTTGGATGTATACTCGTTATAATTATCGGAATTATCAAAGACCTCGTTATAAAACTCATACAATATCATAACGATCGAAGCGCTTTGACCTAGTTTGCAGCTGTGATTTAGTAAACTCCCTGACACCCTACAACAGCTCTCTCGAGTCCTCACTTCTACACGCGTCCTACGAATACTGCATTTACGGAAATGAAATTTGGCCGCTACTATTTTGAAGATGACACTCGGCAAGAGATTCAGGAGAGAATCAACAGCGAAGTCGTGCAAGCGAGTCGCGCTCAAGTATTAACATAAATTCAGAACGAAACTTCTTGAGTTTGAAATAAAGAGAGAGCGATGGAGAAAGAAAGTGCAATTGTTTCCGCGAGACAGAATAAAGAGAATGTTCCGTACTAATCGCGAATATCTTTTTGTCTTCTCTACAAGTGCTACATACACATGCGGTGTGTCCACTCTTTTCACTTTTATATCTATTATGTATTTTTCCAATAATTTATTTATACGCGGACAGAATTTTCTCTTAAAATTTACCCAGAAAATCATGAGACGACGTGGCATTTTCAACAAGTTCCTCCACGCTTCTAATAAATTAAGATAGCTGTACATTCGCTTCTAATTATAGCGATATATACAGAAATGCACAATGTGAAAATGTTTATTGCACACCGGTCAGAATCTCCGATATTCCGATAATCTCAGCAGAGTAAGCGCTTTCGACATTTCATGCGAGTCTCTTCAGTTATAAAAACCCGCAGCTCGACATCTGTAAAACATTGTTACGCGTTTCCGCTCAAGCTGCATGTATAATAGTACGCTGCATAATTAAATTAAAGCAAAAGAATGAGCAGCGCACCGGCGAATTATTTTACATAATCGACAATCGTGATTAACTAATAATGTCGTCGCGGTCTACGGTATCATTATCGGGGCCGTCCGTCCGCGATTTAGAAAGTGAGAAAGGCTTGGGAAGCTGAAGTAGCCGGGCCCGATGAAAGCATGCGGCTGCAGCGCGGCCCGCGGGCCGCCAAGTCACATTCGCGGTGCCGCGGATTTACAATAATTTCCGGTCACGTGCCGCGTCCGCATTATCGATACATCCGCAATGGCAGCGTCGACGGATGCACCGATAGTCAATTGGCCGCGCTGTCCCATTTCGCGTCGTCGCGAAACTTGCGAAGCAGTCGCGGCCGCGGGACACCCGGCCGGTAGCATCTTCTCGCCGATCCGGGCGTGTGTGCGATAGCGGGCTCTTAAACGAGCCGGGTCGCGCGTCCGTAATTATACGTAGAAAGCGACGCTAATTGTCGGGAGCATTTTTTTATCTCTGACTCTATTAATGACCCGCTTGTCCCTTGATAGGATAACGATGTCACTTACACAGAAGAAAAGAATAATCTTCTTGTGAAAATAGGTGTAGTTTCAACGTGAAAATCTTGAAATGGGATTATATTGCGTTAAAACAAGAGAACCTTACTTGATTGAAACAATTGTATATAATTCAGTCAAGAAAAATATATGCTTATTATTTAAGAGTAATTTTCTTGAGTGGAAAGGAAACAATATTGGATGGAAAATAACACATTTTCACATCGAAGATTACAACGATGAAAATAATTTGACTGTCAAAATAATTATATGTATTCTTCGAGTGACAATTATAATATTTAAATAAGATTGTAATATTGTTGGAATGTAAGATTATTAAATGCTTTTCAGAAGATTAGAGATTGTGGCGTATATACACAGCAACGAACGCGTTTAATTTGAGTATACAAGGTGTCACGGATAAGGTGTCCACCCGCTCGTATACAAGTAGAGCGGGTTAAACTGAAAAGAAAAGTTATGTACGGTTTTGTAAAATTCCCAATAGTTATCGAGTAATTAATTAAAACGTCCGAGCGAATAAGCGCGAGGAAAGCGGTAGGCCGAACTTTTTGAAACGTAATTTAAGCCAACAGCACACGATACTATTTTTCCTACTGGATTGTTTACGAGAACCAATAAGGATGCAGAGTTTTAAGCCAACGGCACGCGGTACTATTTTTCCTACTGGATCGCTTACGAGAGCCAATCAGGATGCAGACTTTTCGATCAGCTGAATCCCGATTGGCTCTCGTAAGGACTCCAGTAGGGAAAATAGTATCGTGTGCCGTTGGCTTAAATCCTGATTGGCTCTCGTAAGCAATCCAGTAGGGAAAAGAAGTATCGTGTGCCGTTGGCTTTAGTCTCGGGACGCGACCGACCGCGAACCCTGCGGGCGCCACGCGCCACGTGGCCGTCGAGCCGCGAAGAGGACTCGCATTTAAATGGGAAAGAGTCGAGACGATAGTTCGACGCGCGCGCCGACGGAAATAACTCCGCGTTAAGCAACGCGATCGCGAAATATACGATCGGCGAGAATAAACGAAACTTGGGCAATTATCAAGTTGCCGCGCGGCAGGCAGTAAAAAGTTGCATCGGCAATTTCGCGTCTCATTGTTGCGGAGATTATTTCCAAACGCTATGCGGAAAAAGGACTCGCGTTAGGCAATCTCTTTCGGTGTTTTGATCTCGCGGCTGTCATAACGCGCCACAACGAGTCATTATTCTTAAAGCCGGATTACCCATCAATCAGTCGGACGTGTTACACCATTGTCGAGAATATTCTACCGCCGAAATGCGGCAATAACTTTATGACCGTAGAAACAATTCTACGTTAATTTACGGCTTTCTCTCTCTGTCTCTCTCCTTGTGTCCGCGCAATATATCACAAATATAGATAGAAATTGAAATTACGACGTCCGACGATTTAGCTTAACTTAAACTTTCGCTGAGAAGTCACACGTCGTCTTAGAACGAACGCAAACGAGCCGGGAGAAATTATTATCAGTCCACGCGTCGAAAGTATGCGATACGTTTCATTTCAGCGCCGCTCCCGTCGCGGCCCCTTAAAATTTCTACGAGTTCTCATTTGCGTAATACCAATACCAGATTATCGCACAAAACTGATCGCTTTCGCGATAACGGAGCGGCGCGTTATGTTCCTACGGTTGGCGATCGGTCGATCGACGAACATGTGCATGTACGCAGCCCCCCCGGCCGGACTTTCTACTCTCGTGGTCAACACACGAGTCGCTTTACGTAACTGACAATGAACCTTCCGCCGACAGCCGTGTAATCAAGCCCCTCGAGGGAACTTGAGACAAACGAAATTTTATTGCGCTCCCGGTGCAGACGGTGACAGACGTTCAAAGAGAGAGACGAGGGGGAGGAAAAAGTTATGAAGTAACCGTAACCGAGGCGCAGCTGCTGGAGAGATCTCGAGAAAAAAATTTTTTTTCGAAAAAAAAAGAAGAAAACGTCGCGCACACATCGTCCGGTGAATTTGTCGCGCGTCGTCGTGCATTTGCAATTCTCTACGATTTCATAAGTGCTCCTCTCGCTCTCTGTCTCTCTGTCTCTCTTGCGAAGGACCCGCGATAAAAGTTACACGAAAGCGGCACGCTTATCTCGCTCGTTCCGCCCCGATGACCGACAATTATTTTTCACCGTTTCGTCCGGTTTTTCTTTTCAGTGTCGGACGCGAGTGGCCGCTACTCCTCGCAATTTCACTTCGGTAATGGCTTCTGGCTGGGCTCCATCACCCTCTGCAAAGAGCTCAATAACACCGACAGAAAAGCTATAATGAGCGCCGAGGAGCAGCCACCTTTTTCCCTAAGATTTCACGTCGCAAGATTGTATCTAGACCTCCCGAAGGAGGTCGACTTTTCGGTAAGTCATTGACTAAGTATTGCCACGTTATGACTATTGGATTTGCCTGCTAGCAAAAATTTAGTAGTTACTCATGAATCAATAATGAATTTTATTCATCCATTTTATCTGTAAACGTATAATTAGTTCAAATGACAAGTGTATTTTGTTGTTCTTTTTTAAATGCATTGCTATAAATATGTATGCTTTTTACACTTGATATTGAATCCATTATACATGGGAAAAATGATGTTGACAACATTCTAATTGGAAATAATATTACTTAATAACAATATTAATGAGACAAATGATAATGACAAATGTTAATGAGACCTGTTTTACTCAAACAGGGACGCGTTGAATTGATATTATTTCCAATTAGACTAATGCTGTTGATGCATCATTTTTCCGCGCGGGTATAATTAGAGACGCATTAATTTACAAGGAGCCACTTTGATTCTTATTATTCATTAAGCAATATCTGTTACGTTCTTAATATTTAATAGTAACGACAATATCTTAATTACTTTTATTGAGTTGTGATCTTATCATTCCCAGATTATTACATTATTCATAACGGAATGCAACGAAGCGAATAGTATTACAACCTGTGACACGTTTTATGGATTAATGTATCCCCTATTCGACACGATTTCATCATTCCGCACTTGTATACCGTGATTGTGCATAAACTACACTGCACAGGAATTAATTAAGCACGCATCGATACCTCACGCAAGCTGACGAAATCGTTATGAGACATCGTATATCTCTATTGTCCCTCGAATTATTTATCAACCATTAGTATCTATGCGTCGTTAAATAACTATTGTTTACTTGCCGTAAACAATCCGTGTTTAATCGCGGTAACAGAGACACGAGAAATTAGATATTTAAATTATTATTTTCGTATTATCGCTTGCATGCGCGGTTAATATATTGAATACTTTGATATAACTGGAATGTAAATAATAAATTCTGATATAATGTTTAAATTACATTGTGAAAAAAATCGGTTTTAAAATATTCGTTTATCACGAAATGTTTATTGAATGTATCTTATCATTTTATTTGTCAATGATATAAAATCAAGTTGCCAATAAACGTGGATAGGTTATAAAGGTTTCAGCTAAAATTCACACGGTAAAGATAAAATATTCAGTGCGTTTGTTCGATAAAATTAATAGAGATGAGTAATTGGGGACCATTTTCACCATCCCTTTTCAATCTATGCTTTAATATACATATCGAAACATCTGTAATAATTTTTCTATCTCCGATTTCTATATCTGCATATTAAAAACTCTGTATTCCTCTTCTTCTTACAACAGCATATTTATATAATATATAATATTTAGTTTAGGAAAGATACAAAAATTTGGAAATACCAAATGCAAATTACAAATTTTAATTAAAAGATATTCAATAAGAAAGGAAAACTATAAAATACACTTAAATATTGCATTTTTCTACTATAAAATATTACAATTTTATAGACATTTATTAATTTTTGTAACAATTTTATTTAAAAAAATTTGTATATAAATGTGTTGTCCAATTTACGCGATCTACCAAAATAAATACCATGAAGACATTTAAATAGAAACTTTATGTTTCCTAAAAATTCAATTTGTTATATTTTTATTTAATTATTTCTCCTTTTCATATTTTTTAATTCCATTATTCATCTAAGCAAAGAATTTAAATAACTGAAAATTTAAATAATATACTCAACACTTTTGAAAATTGTTCGCAAAACGTAAATAACATTATTAATAATTCTTCATGGTGAATTTTGCGAAAATTCTCTTTTGAAATTTCTATCTAACTATAACGCTCGGCAAGAAAATGTGTAAACAGCAATAATATCTTTATTATATTTGAGAAACTTCTTTCTTTATCATTCCATCAGTATTGCTTTTTGTCAAGTTTACTCTACTTGCGAGTTATTTCCTATTATCTTTTTATTTATTCTTCCGAGTTTTGTTTTAGGCAATTAATATATCTCGTAATTAATACTTTAATAATACGTGCAAATAAACGATGCACGTTACGAGCTTTTATAAGCTCTGCGTGTGTGAGCGAGTTAAATCGACAAAAAGATTCCATATATTCCAGGATTAAGTATTGTAGCAGTAATCTCTTCTAGTCCATCCACTTTAAGGCAATAGATCTGCAAGGTATTGTCTTTAAATATGATATACTTTCGTACTTTCAACGTGAATTTCTGCTCATTCATATCTCCTACATATATAATTTTCACAGATCCATTACATTATATTGAAATGAAATATAATTGTGGGGTTCACCAATACGAAACGCGGCAGCGGAATTATCGCGACTGCATTGAACTGCAAGTATGATATACAGTCAAATTATAGTAACGCTCAGAATAACTTACTTTAAGCAGTAGTTGCTGCACGTATCGAATTTCTATCTCTATCTTATCTCCTTCATCGAACATCGATAAAATAATTAAATAATTCCTGAGAAATAAATAATTTATAAAGAATTATTCACTTCATGCTTGTTCCGCCGACGCTCTCAAGCCTCTGCCAGTTTTCAGATCTTTTCGTTACGCTGACGCAGCAATTACTCGCAAAACCGATTAATTATTATCGCACGTGTATTGATTGCGAAAACGTGTCGATTTTACGACACTTGGCGAAACGCACGAAAAATATTGCTATTAAACCAATGACATATTTTACAACTTTTCAATTTTCTTTTTTATTATATGTATATCCTGTTAGAAAGTACCACGGTCTAGATTCGTACTTTAACCCGCAGTGGTCTGACACTGGGAATCAAAAGACCCCTAATATACTCCAGCAAAAGTTTAAGGTTGAGTTTCTCTAGGCCGTTACTTGAAAATCTTGGACAAGCATCTGTAAATGGTTCAAGGTTTCCTCTATAGGACCCGACGCTAGATGTTGCCCGCAGAGCGTCATTTTACTAGTAAAATGTACAGAAGAAAATTCTATATTATGAGACAGGTTTCTAATATGAGAAGCAGGTTTTCAACATACAAACTAAATCACAAATCTTTTTTCGCAACGATTACACAATCCAACAATAAATTTTCCACTAAACAGATTTCGCTCCAAGGGCAATAAATTCGTGATGATGGAATCAACTGATGATGCCTATTAATTTAACAGAAACCCCGCTATCCCATATTAGGATCCTATCACATAATAGGGAACTTTCCTAATGTATGGTAAAATTTCAAAAACTTTCATAAAAATCTTCGAAATGCCGCGCTGTCCAACACGATTACATAATTTTTAAGGGGTTAGTTTCAAAAGAAAATTCTCTCCGATAAGGTTTTACCCCAGCACCGGCGATCGCAAGTCTAAATAGATAAAATCACGACGACAGGCAGAGCGACTATCGCTTTCTGCCTGTTCGAGTCTCAAGATATGAATGATAGTGCGCGGCGAGTTTGCGTAAACACAATAGCGAGCGTTATGCACGTAGCACGCCAAAACAAACGGCAAATCGACGCGCCAGCTCAAATGTGTTATTGACCCGGCAAATTTAATGCTTTAGAAAAACCGACCCGACGTCCGCGTTACGTTCGCGTTTCTCATATTTTAAATAGACAATTAATATAAACGATTGACATTGCGGCTTTCTCCGTGGGATTTTTCAATGCGACTGTTCATATATGACACCACGCTCTCTCTATCTTTCTCTCTCTCTTTCTCCTAAAAATGATAGATTACATTTCTGATAGACGGATAAGTCTACGCGCGATACAAAATTGAGATACGTGTAACAACGGCGAAATATCACAGTTCAGACTTGTATTTTACACAAGTCAGTCGCGAAAAATATCTACTACGGTGGACAACCATCGCATTGATATTGCAAGCGTTTCCTGTTGCGGATTGCAAGAATTTATCAATTACACGGATTCATAAGCATTACTTGTTATTTATAGACGTAAAGAATGATAAATGTTGAATCTAACACTCGCGATCGTGTTCCAGTTAGAAATGACTAATCGAATAAACGTTAATTTGGTATCAATACGTCGATAAATAATGGAATGTGATACTGATATTTTTTTTATGATCTGTAATTGTTTTTATGTTAATTGGGCGATTGTGAATATTTCTATTGCCTGTTGGCCAATTCTCTACATCGAAAAACAGCAGAGGAAAGCCTGAACAAGCAGATTGTGAATATCTCAAAAAATATAAAAGTCGTCTCTTGGGAATTTCGTTAATTGTTTATAACGTTTGAGCGGTTCAACTACAAACGAAAATAAATTCACTACAGTCAACTACAAACGATTTTAAAGAAGCCTGAACAAGCGGATTTGAGAAATCTTGTTGTCGAGTGCTGGTCATTTTTTCTTAATTTTTATATCTTGTTAACTATTGAACTACAAACGAATTTTTTTTTACTACAATCAACTACAAACGAAAGGCTACCATTTCCCGTATTTAAAAACTATTTTTCGAAAAGTCGGGCGCCAGGTTCACACAGGTGCCTGTTATCGGTGTGTAAATAATAGCTGTTGCGTGCCGCAACTCGTATCTCATATATTTATGACTTCTATTCCTATAAAAGTTTTTATACAAACAGTTTTATTAAACAAACTAAAATTCTAACAGACCTTGGTTAGTCCTGCAATTTGTCTAAAGACCCTTGCCCATTTACGACTTTTTGCCTAAAACTCTTTTTACGCACTCGCGATCGAGCTGTGAAAGATCAATCCGGCCCTAACGGATCATTGCGCCACGAATCAACCTTTTCTGTTTTTACTTCTGTTTCTAAGAAACCACGTCAATCACTACTTCCGATATTAGAACACGTCGTGTAATCGATTAATATTTCAACGGAAATTCAACCTAGAAGCGAGGAGATCCCTCTTGAACTGTAAAGTTTAGTTCTCAGTCGTCTTTCGAAGCGAACACCTCTTCTCTCCGCTTGTCCTGTGCTAAATAAAGTCTCGCGAGAGGACAATTGTCTACCTTCATTTTATTAAAATGTCACGTCGCGTGTAAACGCGGCGACCTTGTGTGCAGAGCGTTACACGTATGTCGCATGCCGAAACAACCAACACATTGAATTTAGCGTTTACTCGAATAAAATTTAGCCCGTCTCGATCGAAAATACATTGTGTCAAGTAATTGATTATATTATAAAAAGCTATAAGCGACAAAGATCGAACTTGACTCAACAAAGGCATTTCCCTGTTTACTTGAGATAATTTATTATTGTTGCACTGCGCCAAACTTTTACGTCCTAAAGAATTTGATTACGGTGCTTTAACCGTGAATTTTTATATCGATCTTTAATCTCATTCCACTTTAACGGCTCAAAAACTATGCTTATCTTTAAAAATTTTTTTCACAGTAAATACACCATACAATGAAACAAATTCTTTGGGATTTTTAGGGCACTCTTAAATAACATAAAAACATTTTGTCATAATTTAAACAATTTTTTAATTAAGCGTTTTCTACACCGTTCGAATGGCGTGTCAAAAAACAATGCAATTTTTTGTGTTACTTAAGAGGGCCCTAATAAATCCCAAAATGATTTATTTGATTGTATGGTGTATTTATTATGAAAATAATTGTTAAAGATAAGCATAGTTTTTAAACCGTTAAAGTGGAATGACCCCTTAAAGTCTGATCTACAATGTACTCTTCGCGTCTAGAAATATTCTATTTTGTGGCTAGTAAATGCATTGAAAGAATTTGTGCAAGTTGATAAATTGTACATTATACGTTATCGATAAATTTTTGTACACATATCGATTTGCTTATATGTAGAGAATAGAACGTTTCTAATCGCAAAAAGCACTTTTGATTTTATAGATTAAGTAGGTAAAACTCAATCGCTGTGAAAAATGTAGAACTCGTTTTCGTCTCTTGATACCGCGCGATTTCACTTCTTTCAAGAAAAACTTTGAAGGAAAAGTGTAATAGCAGAATAAGATTTTTACCTCACAATTACAAAATAAGAAAAAATTTTACTCTAGAAAATTAAATTCAACTTTGTGAAAGAACTTTTCTTTAGATCGAATAATCATTCCAAGTTTTATTTATAAGAAGATTAACTAATGTAACATTTATACTTGTCTGTTAGTAAATTAGTTATCAAATAGCTGCTTTTCAGGGATGATTCATATTGTTTGTTAATATATACAGACAATGTGATTATTTCCTGAATAATGCTTAAAATGCTTAAATTCGGATGCAACTCCCGCCTTAAATGTTTCGTTAATTTACAAATGTATTCTTTTATTATTTTCAAATTGAAAGTCTAGAGAAACACATGAAGAGTCAGATTGAATAATTCAATAGAAAACTTTTGAGTCGTTAAAATAACCGTTGTTTATTGATAAGTTGAAATCCAAGAAATAAGAATGTATTGTCTGCATATAAAAAAGCGAAATATAAAATCACCGATGCATAGTAAAAAATCAATCGTAATGAAAAACTGAGCAAAATTTTAATATTAGAAATTTTCGAGCTTATCGAAAGTAATAGAAAATATTGAGCGCGGATTGATTGCATTTTTTGTTAAGTTGAAGGTCTAGCAGCCAGCTGGCGAGCCAGTTTAACTTTCGATAGGAAAAGTAAGTTTCGGTATTTGCACTAATAAGATTATTCGGTGACTCGAATCCCAAAGTTTCTCAGTTTCAAATGCTGGAAGCCCGGCGCTGTCTGTCTTTAATCTTGTTATCCTTGCGGAGTTAGACGATATCATTACGTGCTTAATTAATAGAATTTCCCGCCTAAGCGATTGTGCAAATTGCGGGATTATGATCCGCGCAATTCACCGAGCGGAAGTTAAAACTGAACAGAAAAACTCCGTCGCGTCTCTCGGTCCAGCTTTTGAATTTAATAAATTCGATGATTTATATTATCGACCGAGAATCTCCCCCCTCCCTTCTTTTTGCAACAATGAGAGCAAAAAGAAAGAAAGAAAAATGGAACTGCACGTGGCGCGCTATTGCAAGGCCCGATAGAAAAAGTTTGTACCGCATTTTTTCGCCACGGTCTCATTTCCATTCGCTACGCGATCAATAGATCGACTCAACGAAAATTATAATCTCGAACGAAGTTAGGCGAGCCCGACCGTCGTTATACTTTTGCGCGAATACGCGAATTCATCGATCCAGCAAGGATTGCTGGCCGTTTGAATCCAAGTGACAGGAAATTTTTAATCGCGTCACTTAACTTCTCGTGCGTAAATGCGCGTAAGCAGCGAGATATGCAATGTACACGGAGAGAATTTTCTCTTAAAATTTATCCGGAAAATTATGTGATCGTGGAACATGACATTTAGAAGAATTTTATGGGAGTCTTTTTGAAAGTTTACCACACATTGTACCAGTAAAATGTATACTAAATGTAATTACTAGTGAAATATATGGTAAAATTTCAAAAAACTCTCATAAAATTCTTCGAAATACCGTGTTGCCCCACGATTACAATATTTTCAGGTTAAATTTTTAAAGAAGCCTCTCTCCTTGTACGCGCCAAAGAAGCGCACATTCTCTGTCACATTTTTTGTAACAAACGGTCAGCGCATCTTTCCATAAATCACCAGCATCTTTTTTGAAGGAGAGAGGGGGGATAGTTAGCATTTTTTGCAATAAGTAGAAGCACCGAGATGTGGAAGAAAGGTATCCCACCCCGCAAGATTTATTAAATGAGACAAGCTTCGCCGCGGGATAGAGAATACCTCGCTCTAACGAGATCATTTCATTTTCTTTCCAGACACGTCAGGTGTTTTTGGGTCTCTGTCTACCGGGTACATGCGATCGCGCATCCCTGACCTCGATGCTAAGGGCCAGCGCTGATAGAGTCGAGCGCGAGGGCAATTCGACCTATCGATCGAGCGGGCCGAAAATTCACGTTGTTACGGTGAAGCCTGTGCCATCCAGCAATTACTGCGCCTGGCAAGATCCCAAATTTTACGTCCTCTCGTGAGTAATCCTAAAAATCCTCTTACAGCCGCACCGTAAATTGCCCGGAAAGCAATCGCCTCGCCGACCAATGGGCTCGTGATGCGACCCTTCGCGTCGCATGACAAATTCAATATCATTGGAAAATGCATGCCGGGAGGGCGTAACTGCTGCGCTAATAATGTGTAGCATTTGAAACTATCATTGCATAGTAAAATAATTATAGTCAGGAATATTATTTTTATAGTAATTATTACTACAATATTAGTAATAGCAACCATATAGACACGGTGATGCCAACTATTTAAAAAATTTATTATAGAATATAAGCTTTTAACTATTATTCTGTTAAACTATCCAGGTAATGAATAGTAAGTTAGTTAATTATTTTTATATAGTAAATCACAATAATAGTAAATTTAACTACATTTCTATCCGGTATAAGACTTTTTCGTAAGAAGAAAATCGCATAGGGTTATAAATCCGGTTAAGTTTATACATTCGTATAAGATTACTTATCTTATCTTCGAAATATACTTTCTTGTACTATTCTTTATGAGTGCAAAGTGATGTAACCAATAAACATAGTAAACGCAATGTATATGTAATAAAAGCGGGGCATATTACTTCCAATATAAATACGATTATTACTATTACATATAGTTATTCGAAATTTTACTTGTGGTTGTTATTGCAATATTTCTAGTACACCTTAACAAATTAAAAGCTCGTTTTGGTTTTGGTTTATGACAACCATATCGTAAGTTGCATGGACCAATATTGTGTCTATGGGAACTATAATACATTGTTTGGTCATAACCATAACTTTCGCCATAGAAAGAATTACAAACATGTGGTTGGCTCCTGAAATGACTATAAATTATAGTCAGATTATGGTAACTGCAACCATTTTTTTTCTGTCAGTGTGGTCAATTTCATCTCCTGATTATTACGCGCAAATATTATTCGTACGCTGTCTAAATACGACATTTATGTAACATTGCACGGCGTTTTCTCTCTCGCGGCGCGTTTCAGATAAGGCTGTCCCTGATAATGGAAAAATATTATTCATGCGATTTAAAGTGAGCGAGGCACTTGAGCTATCTAACGGCGTAAAACTTGGAAAATTTCATTCCGGGACGCAGCGCCCCGGCAGGAACTTACGAAACTCGCTTGCCGTACTTTCGGTAAACGCGCAGGTACTGCTCGCCCTTATTCGTATCCCTGAATACCAAAGTTGATATTTCTGCGATATCGAGGAAGGACCGAAACGGCGGTGCCCGAGGAAAATCCATTTCCCGCCGGCTCGAAATATTTGTTTTCAATTCGAGCGTAACTTCGCTACACCGCACGTGTACGTACATACGTTGTTCGCGAAGACAACTCGATGATATTTAAACAGTGCGGCGCGGACGAGATACTTAGAAAATAAGAGCAAACGCACGTTACGTGATAAAAAAGTGGCGAATTTTTTCAATTAAAATATGCAGTTGTTCGAACTCGGAATATTCGCATCGATATTCAAGAGATTCAAGTGTTCTGAAAGCATTATTTTGTTCGACGCTTACAACGCCGTGTGCAGTTCCGCTTTATCGGTTATTACGAAGTACGCGCAGCTCTGCGGAATTAATTTTGCGAGAGATAAAATAGGGATATTTTAATGACCACCGACCGATAGTGCCCCGCGTTAAAACGCGGTTCCCCGAGAGTGGTACGCGCGTAATAATTTTACGCTTACATTTCCTAAACAAACACGGAGAAACTCGCGTTTATGTAAGAGGAGCCTGATTCCTTAAGTTTTCAGATTCGCGATATGGCGAGGTGGTTGACAGAAATTCTGCAATCGTGCATTGCGCAACGCGCCGCGACAAAAGATTTCATTTTAGGTGGCGAATTAACGCGCGACGTGGACAAGACAAAAATACGTAATTGGACGCGCGCCACCGTGGCGAGCTTAAAAAGTAATTAATTATAAGCCCCCTCGTAATTCTCGGGGAAAATAAAGCGCGATGGGATCATGCGGTGACACAATATATATGTATAATCCCTTAAAAAACGTTCCCTAAATCCTAGAGCGCCATGCAACCCTTTCATTCTCACACTGAGAAAATTTTTATCGGCTAAATCAATTAAATAGTGTGTCACATAGTTAATTTTTCTGATTACGTTTTCCGATTAAATTACGGATACATCCGATGCAATTTTATTGAGAAACCGATCGCATTTTTCATCGGATATACAATTTAATCGGACATATCAGTTTGTTATTATGTAATCAGATCGTCCGATTATATATAGGCCCGGTTTCACCAACGTTGTTTAACTTTAAGCTTATCTTAATTCGTTCTTCGTCTCTTTCTAAAGTTACTTTTTCTAAGGTTACTTTAGAAAGAGAAAAACGTGAATAAAACTAAGATTAAAGTTAAACGACGTTTGGTGAGACCGGGCCTTAATCGGACATTTTTCTCGGTGTGAGCTTATCATGCAGCTTTGATACATCGCGAGCAGGAAGGAACTCTTTTCGCCAATGTTTCACGTATTTTCCATACAAGAAATTAAATATATTAATCACCGGCGCTTCACATTAGCGACGTAAAGTGTAATTAATCACAAATTCTCTCGATCACATTGAGTCTCATAGGAGCGGATTAAAGTAGTCGGCTGCGCAAACGAGTTATACTTCTGGATCTACGGGTGGAAATTAGTTTAAGCTCCCGCTGCTCAAGTGCCACGTCGGAAACTGCATCGGGCCGAGAGAGAGAGAGAGAGAGAGAGAGAGAGAGAGAGAGACCGTGGAGTGACGGGTCGCTCACGTAAACCGGCAAATTAGGGCGTTCGAAGAGTTCAATCCGCGACAGTAGTCATGTCGCTCGATATCTCTGACGTGCGGGAGAAAGCAAGAGTTCGCAGGCGGGGCTCGGCTAATTTCGGCTTCGCGGATTGCAGTCGAACTTTCGTTATATACGCCCGAAGTTAACGGGGCCTCGTTAACCGGAGCGGAGATAGGCACGTGAGCGGCTCCCCTTAATCTTTCGAGCCCTTTCGTCCCTCTGGCTTTCCGATCGAAAGCCGCGTCCGGCCGCCGTTTTCTAATCGATGCGACGCCGGGATCGTTCAAGCTTATTCTACAACGAACGCGAAACGCAAGACGCCAAGGCCTGATTTCATCAAACGTCGCTTAACTTTAATCTTAAGCCAGCGGCTCATCCTGAGTGCTGCAATTATAGTAATTTACTAGATTGCAAGTAATCCAGCAGGAAAAAAGGCGTTGTGTGCCACTGACTTTAGTTTAATTCATGTTTGTCTCTTTCTAAAGTAGCAGTTGAAAAGAGGTAAAAAAAACTAATTAAGCCAAGCTTAAAGTTAAACAACGTTGGTGAAAACCGAGCCTAAGCCGCAACGCGAGAAACCGACCAATCACAGTCAAATATGAGGAGAATTAGCGTCTTGCGTCCATTGCAGAGTAAACTTTATTACGCGGCCGAGACGCGGCCGCACACGAAATGCGGTTTACGCGCATCTGGCGCGGCCGGTTACGTGAGCGCGGCACATCCGCGGAAAGAAAGTGCAGGAATACATCGCGCACGTGAACGGTTTATAATTGCCGGGAGTGCGAGCGAGTCTTACCCGCGAGTTTACCCGAGCGTACGCTACATTAACGTCACGTGGCAATGAATCGATATACCGTGAGATTTATTGCACAGTTCTCGGGCGATGATACCCGTGCACTGCCGTGCGTTCCATTACGCGAGCGATTATGTATTTACAGGCGGAAGAGCTTGAATTCATATGAATTACGGATACGTGCCTCGTGCGGCTTATCGGAGTCGCGCGGAAAACAAACGAAACAGAGCTCGAACGCAAACTCGAACCAAAGAGGCTATTATTTACAGCGGGAGAGAACGGTTCTCAATTTAACTTGCTTTATTTGTTAGGTAACTTCGATGCACCTTAACTGGACGTCCTTTCGCAATTTGGAACGAAGCCCGAGAAGGAGAGAGAGAGAGAGAGAGAGGGAACAAAGTTTATACGTTCGTATGTGCCGCGCGAGCGTCGAGGAGCGCCAGAAGAACCGCGGGACAGGTCGAAGGTGGAACCTCCTCTCCTCCCTTTCCTTTCGCGCCAAGTTTTCTAATTTGCGCCCGCCCGAGAAAAAAGATCGGAGTCGGTGCCAAACGCGCGTCGCCTAAGCGCACTTTCGCGGTTGCGTTTCACTCGTTCGCGACCCACGTGCGGCCACGTGTCGCTCATCTATCGAAAGGAGAGAATTACGACGAGCGACCCGATCGTTGCATAATGATCGTACGCTGCGATCTGATGGTATTCGGCAAACAAGGCGGGAGCGCAAACAGCCGGGGTATATCGCGGACGTCAAATTGAGCAAGTGTCCATTGCGCAGAGCCGACGATGCAACCGCCAGCCGTGTCACCATCGGTCTTTTCTATGTACGCGCGGAGCCCCTCGCGGCACTCGTTACCGCGTAATGCGCCCGGTCTGGCTTTTGCCGTAAACGTTATGTAAATTGCATAACTGCCGCGAGTCAGCTGAAAACTGACCGCGCTTAATAAGAACGGGACACTTCGTTATCGCGATCCCGTGTATCGCGCAAGAAATTGCACGCGATCTTCGCGACATGCGAGCGCCTCGAGCGCCTCTCGTGGTGCACTTTGAAGAAATGCATATTTCATCGATTCGCCGACGCGATTATCCTAGTCGCGGCTTCTCCTATATCGTGCGTGTAAATGAGACGTCGCCGGTCGCAGTGATCATTCACCCGTCGCATTCATGTACGATGCTAATGTTTATTCATAAATATCCGCCTTTTATCCATTTATCCATTTTGTTTGGCAACGCTGCGAATGTACTAAAATGCCGTAGGTTACATGTGAAGAAATGAATCGAGAATTGAGAACTTTACACGCATGAGATTTTTTACAGTGCAATGTGATTTTCCTTTGACGAGAATTTATCGTAATTCGCTGTCGATTTATTCTATACTCGAGTTACCTTCTTACACGGAG